TCCTTTACATAGTACAAAACCTCAGTTTAGAAAGATCTTTAGTCCTTTACTTATCAAGCTACAGTAATCACTAGGGACAACTGTTGCAACATGATTTAACAGACGGGGTCATCTCAAAAATTGCACATTGCAGCTTTCATCACCTGTACAGTAATTATTGCTGGGATGTAATGCACTTGAGATGTTCTGACAATATCAGAACACAGATTGTATTAACAGCCTTAAAATTACTCCACCAAGTTTTCCTTCTTTAGAATATATACATTTGTTTTTTCTTGCGTGTGTGTTCTGAGCATTCCCAGTTGAGTGTTTGCATTGGAGTTCATGCTTTCCTCACCCACTACCAGTTTTCCTTGTACAGCGTCTCTACTAACTGCTGGTATATACTATTATATCGCCCTGTTCCACTCTCTGTGACAGGACGTGTGAATAAAAAGGAACAAATATAGAGCCAGAATAAAGATTGTTATGAGACATATTGTTTTGTTCCTGAAAACAGATGCAGCTCATTTAGTGGATTGTAATATTCCTGAATACATCTGGCAATACCCTGCTGAGGTTATATAATAATAATCCTTGTATGTATTATAGCACCTTTCAGGTTGGGAGGATAATAATTTTTTCATTTGGCAAAGGGCCTTTCATATCAGGAGGACATCTCAAAGAGCTTCACAGGATGTACTGTCAAGTGAAGTGACTGTATAGAGTCAAACCTGTCTTCAATAACCTTAGAGGACTGGGCCAAAGTGGCCTTTATACAAGGGTAGCCTCTGAGTAAGGGTTCATTGGTGTGTGAACCTGGTAGTCTCGGCTGTTCCAGGGTAGTTGCTGGATGGAGGTGGTTTTTTGAACAGGTTTGACTGCATTTGTAGACAATTGTGACAGCCTAATTGCTCACAGCATAGTTCCACAAATAGCCATGACGTTGGGGGTTTAGAATATTGTTTGTTCTAAAATTACACATGGATAACATTACATTTATCATTAATTATAGAATAGTCATAAAATTGTTTTGAACTTCCCTCTGTTTAAAAATATAATTTTGTATACAAGTAAAATAAACTCATGTGTAAATAGATAAAAACTATAAAAAGTAATTCTTGATGCAGTTGTGCCTTATCAACAGTATCACTAATAATAATCCTTGAGGACATCACAGGATTCAATGTGAAGTGGAGTGATTGTTTATTTGTCCCACAAACACCATGAAGTGAATGACCAAATTTTATTTGGGGAATTGTTGGCCAGAAACTCACTTTTCTTTTTGAACAGGCAACAGGGCCTGAGTTTACCGTCTCATCTCAACAATATACCCTCCCCCCCCACCCACCTGCACTGAAGTGTCAGCTTAAACTATGTGTGTTCGCATGCCGACATGGGCCTTGAACCCACAACCTTCTGACCCAGAGGCACTAGTGCTACCACTGCGCCAGGCTGACATGGCAAATTAGTACTGTAACATGAAACGTTATCCATACTGGAACAGGCATGTCTATTTAAAAGGTCATCATCTGAGCCAAAATAGGGCTCTATGAGCAATGCTACTACCTTTAGGTAAGTTTATCTTCAGCACATCCTGAAAATGATTTGCTGGAGGACTTCAGAGTGCTTTAAATGTCAACTTAGGACACTGGAAGAACTCAAAGGTACAAGTGCCCCCTTATGTGACTAATAGTCAATAAGAGGAAGGCCTCCACTGTTGACAAGATACTGTGGGTGGCTTTTTTTTCAAATATAGATTCTGCACTGACCTATCTGTGGTTAATTATTTATAGCAATATATGCAACTGCGACTATATTTTTATTTCATTGGACTATATCTTATTTCTCTTGTGTTGGACACAGAACTACACAACACCTCGATGACCATTGCTGTTCTGAAGTGAATGGCCGGATCTCCTTCACATAAAAAATACAGTAAACCCCTGGTTTATCAGACACCAGGTGTGGGGAATTCAAACCTAACAGACTGACATGTAAACTCCCGCTGGCCGCACTCTCCTATCACTTTCCCCGCCTCACCATGCTCGCTGGCCATCAGTGGGCAGGGATATTCACTTTGATTCATTTTGAATCCTGTGAGCACGAGACAGTTTATTCACTATCTTCTGCTCATGGGAATCAAACAATTACAATGCCGGTACCATTTTACGGCATTGAATAAAACCAGTGCACTGAATAAAGTCTCAGCGAGGATGGGGGTGATAGGCTCATAATAAAATAATAATAATCCTTGCATCTGATATAGCATTTTTCACGTCTTCTAGATGTCTCAAAGTGCTTCACAGAATATACTGTAAAGTGAATTGACTATATATTTGTGGGCGTAACGCGGCAGCCAATTGCGCACAGCAGTGTCCCACAAACAGTCATAGATTGAGTGACCAGTTTTATTATTGTTTTTGTTCTTGAAGGATTATTATCAGGCGTGTGGAGTAAGAAAACTTGCCCAAGGTTTCGCCCTGCTGGGAATCGATTCCTTTCATTATCTTAATCACTACAAGCGCATTGACACTTAACTTTCCCTGCTCTAAGGAATATAACCTCAGTCTCTGAAAGCTGCAGATCACAAAAACGCAGAATGTTACAGCACGGAAACAGTCCATTCAGCTACCAAGTATTTACTTGTAAAGCACGCTGGGACGCTACCCTGGTGAGGGGCGCTATATAAGTGTAAGTTGTTGTTGTTGCTTGTGTTTTTCTCCACATGAGCCACTGAATCTAATTCCACTACTCTGTTTGCTCCTCATGTACGTTAACATTTCACTTTTCTAACATTTATCTGATTTCTTATAATAATAATAATATTATTATTTCTTATAAAAGAATTGTGATTTTTGCTTGAACAATAGTTTGCGACAGAGAATTACATATACAATGATGAGTTGCACACTGTTAAGGACTAACTGCTTGATCCTTATTCTCTTAACTAATTGTTTCTGGTTAATGTCTATGCTGTATATTGGTACTACAACAGCCTCAAATAAAATGTGACTGCAGCACACTATATTCTGACACTGACTCAAAATATCACATTAATTAACAGACAAATAAAAATGCAAATATCACAACACAAAAGAGGCAAGAAACCTCTTTATGGAGAAGCACTCTGTAAAGATAATGACAGGAATGAACACCCTTCCTGCACAAACTGCAGATATTAAGGTAAATGAATGCAGGGTGTAAGCATATACAATACACTCAATGACAGCCATCTGAAACATATCAGAAATATAGACTCTACTTGGGTACTGCACTACCACTGCCCATCAACTGGAAATACAACAACCGTTGAACCTAATACCTGTACTTCAGGACATCATAATCTCTGTAAGAGCTCCTTAATTCTCCCATAAACCAAATTTGAGTTTATAATCTAGGCTGATACTTCAGAGCAGTACTGAAGGAGAGCTGTATTGTTGTTAGCACTACCATCCCCTCAGAGGAATCTTCAATCCAAATTCTTGTCAGTCTGTTAGCTGTAGGTTAAAGATGAGAACAATATTTCGGGAAAGCACAGGGAGATCTGTATTCGGATGAATTTGCTCCTTCTTCATCAAATTCGGCAACAAATTGATGATGGATTCCAATTGCTACGTAATTAGCATAATTGATACTAAATCTATGTAAATTGTGCACTTCTTGCCCACTGATGAACCCTGACAGCATACAACAACAACAACTACAACAAAATTACATTTATAGAGTGCCTTTCACGTCGGGAGGACGTCCCAAGGCACTGAACAGTCAGGTGTCGGGGCCCAAGCATGAGGGAGGGTAGCATAGGTGTCATTAAATATTAATTTAATTGTTATTAAATGGAGGTTCCGTCTACCTGTTCAGATGAACACTGAACAGGCAGACAGGATGTTGGGTTAGCATTACATCTGAAGGATGGCACCTCCATCAAATCAGCAGACCCCAGTACTGCAGCGGAGTTTCAGCCTACACTATGAGTGTCCCTAAACCATATCCTCTTGTGGAGCCCATATCCTCATGTGGAGGTTTTTACAACAACAACAACAACACAATTCTATTTATAGAGCGCCTTTCACGTCGGGAGGACGTCCCAAGGTGCTGTACAGTTGGGTCAGGACCCGAGCAGGGGGGAAATGGTCAGGATGAGGGGAGGGAAGGGAGGGAGCGAGGAGGGGGTAGAGAGTCGAGAGGGGAGCTGAAGGTACGGTCAAAGAGAAAGGTCTTGAGACCGGCCTTGAAGGAGGAAAGGGAGGAGGCAAGGCGAAGGCACTGGGGGATGGAGTTCCAGAGCCTCGGGGCTGAGAGGTTGAAGGCCCGGCCACCGATGGTAGGGCAGTTGGGGCGGGGGATGTGGAGCAGACCGGAGCCAGAGGAACGGAGGGTACAGGCAGGTAAGTAGGGGGATAGTAAGTAGGAGAGGTAGGAGGTAAACATATTAATGTAGTGAGGTTGAATTTAGATATATCCTTTGCAACACAAAAGATAACAATAACGTCAGCATTTCACAACTTTGTTCTCGTAATAAAATCAATTTTGAACGGTAGATATTATTATGGTATGCCAGTTACCAACTGAAATCACAATATCAATAATAGTAATTCTTGCATTTGATTTAGCACCTTATCATGTCGTTGAGACGCCAATTTGTGAAGCGCTTTGAAATGTCTTGACTATGTGATAAGGTCCTATATCAAATGGATTATTATTATTGCTATTATTATAATCTTAACGATTATAATCTTAATGATTACTTTTTCCTATCCGAATTGAAAAACTTGGATTTTAAATGAACCACTAAAAGGGCTGAATATATCAACGAAGAAAATAACGAGAGAATTTAGTATTAAGATAAATAAAAGAAAATGTTATATGAGTATAATTTTAATCTTGTCCACAGAGGTTATTTTCACATCACCTCAAATTTAAATACACTGAGGATTGCAGCAAAGGTATTTGGAAATGCATTTAAACACAGACCTGTATTTCAACACGTTTACTTGTCGTCTTCACATTGTACTTACCTGTGCCATTAGCACGTCCTCTGAAAATGTCATCGTAGGACTTCCACTGTTCATTCATCTGATAGGCATAGATGAAAATCACAAAGACACCCACAAGGCACAGCAAGGGCATCAGAGCAGCTGTGGCAAGAGCAGCGTAAAGATTTGGAATGAAACACCTATGAAGAGTGAACAAAAAGAGAAAATAAAACATTAATTTACACATCAAATTACATTACACATGAAAGTGATCGCTCATCTTTATAGATAACGATAGCACATAAAAGCACATAAGCACATGAAGCACATGATGATCCTTCAGGGCATCATCTTTTAGTACGATCATCGATAGATCAATATTCATAAATGTTCTTTCCAGTTGGTACATGTGGAACTGTGCCCTCAAAAGAATGAAAATGAAAAAGTTAAAAATGTTAGAAAGATAGAAAATGGAAGGAAAATAATTTCCTTCCTCAATCCCTATGCCTGGTCCCCTCCTTCCCCCTTTTCAGATCTTCCTCTATGCCCGTGCTTATGGTCACCTCCTTCCCCCCCCCTAGCTTGGCATCAGGGTCTGCCACTGTTAACCACTCCAAGACATGAGAAGGGCATAGGGCATTATTTAAATGCAAGTTGTTGTTGTTGTTCCCTTTTTATTGTCTGATGTAGTAAAACACCTTCTCAGATTCTCAAGTGTAGCTCAGCTGTAAACATTAATACATGAATAGATTCACTGTTGAAATGTGTGCTTCCATAAATATAATTATCTAAATTGACACTCGAATGCAGTGCTGGGGGTGCACTGCATTGTTGGAAGTGCGATGCTTTGGATGAGTTGTTAAACTGAAGCCCCGTTTTCCTGTTGAAGTGAACATTAAAGATCCTATAGAACTATTTGAAAAGAGATGGGAGTTTCTCTCTCACAATGTCCTGCTCAAAAGTCTTTCGAATAAAAAAAAGGTAATTCACTTCATGGCTGTTTGTGGGGACACTACTGGAATACTACAATCTACAATACTGGAATTGTTTGTTCAGTTTGCTGCTAATGTTATAAACTGATTCTATGTTGCTTCACATTGTTTGTTTAAGTAAGCCTTAAATTCATAAGGAGAGGAGTCCAGTAAAATTATATTGATCTTTTACAAAAAAAACTAAATATTTATAGATATTGTTTATAAATTAGGTTATTTTCTCATTCAAACTCAAAAACATGGAAATAGATGAGAGTGGTTTTGAAATCCTGGCCCATAACTTGAATATATTTTATATTTTTAGAACTTTATTCTATACTTTTAGCAGCAACTTGCTATTTCCTTGAATATAGAATGCAAATGTATTATCCCTCCAGCCAGATCATGAAATCCTGCACTAGATATCTGAACGCTGAGTGGAAATCATTCAGGAAACTGTGACTTTGTGGAAAAACTTCCCCATTCTTAAATTTGCTTCAGAGAATTATTCAATATTAATCTGTCGCTGTTCCCAAGCCTGTAATCCCAGGGTACCCAAGCTCATTGCTTGAGTAATTACACTGAAATTGTACGGAGCAAAACATTTCTAGTATAGAATATATGCATTTCTCACAATACGAATTTCAGTATGTGACAGATGTACAGTACGTAATATATAGTATGGATAGGATGCAGCTGTTGCTGACTTAAGCATTTTCATATCCCTTCTGCTCCCCAATGGCTCAATCAGTAAATGAATCACTTAGAATGTTACTGGTTTCTTAGCAAAACAGAATAAGAAAATCCCAGATTATATCCCTGGTCTATGATGAGCGAATTAATCTCACGCCAGTATTGTTGGTTAAAATGGAATAAAATCAGCCCAGCTTTCTACTCCTGCTCACTGTTATGTGATCCTTCAGGGCATTCTGGAGTAACCAATAACAACTTGCATTTATTTAGTGCCCCTCACGCAGGGTAGTGTCCCAGAGCGCTTGACAGTGGCAGAACACGACACCCAGCCAAGAGGAGGGGGGGTGACCGTAGGTACGGTCGAATAAGAAGGTTTTCAGCCGCGACCTGAAGATGGGGAAGGAAGAGGCACGGCGGAAGGATAGAGGAAGAATGTTCCAGTTTCGGGGCATAGTGGCTGAAAACGCAGTCACCCATAGTGGCTTAAGGAAGTAGATGGAAATGCTCTGTGACAAAACATCTGCAAAATAAACAGTTGTAATAATTTTCACACAGTCATAAAACAATCAACTTCTATAAATTGTAGTCATAAGATTCAGCAAAAAGGAAGGATTGGACTCCATTATGATAACCCCCTAGAGTTGAATATCCCACTGATACTGTCCAGATGGCTCCATGAAGGAAGTGCCAGAGAGGCATTGATGTCTCGTCTGTTTCCATTTTCACCTCCGTTCACCCACAAAGTACACATTACAAAGTATGTATTGAGACATCCTCCAGATGTGAAAGCCTCTGTATCAAATGTAAGGACTATTATTTTATCCCAATCTGTACCTCAACCTGAGTTAGTGCTACCAACACAGGACAGATGGAGGAGGGTATGGGGTAAATAAGAATATAAGTGAGGGAAAGACTTGAAGATATGAAAAGTGCTATATGAAATGCAAAGTTTATTATTATTTATCATCAGTAGTGCTCCCTTTTCATTCTTTATCAGAGTATCTACATCACAAATCCCACTTGTGTAAATAGCACCTTTAAGTTCAGACAACATTTAAATATTGACAAAAGTAGAGGTTATATGCCTAATTTTAAAGTCAGAAGGACTTTCACCGTTGCATTCAGTATTGAGAGTCACAGGCTGTCATCCCAGAGGTCACATAACAAGGAACGAGCACACAGTTAAGATTACCAAAATGCTCAGTATTCAAACAGTTAACCAAAGAGTGTGTTAATACAGTACTTCCATTTCATAACAGCTAGTGCTGAGTAGGTTTAACTCTTAATGTGCCTAAATTAAACTCATGCAGATAATCACTTGTTGCCTTTCCAATTCTGACCTATTGTTTCCCCTGATTCTATCAAATTTTTGTCTCCGGATTTTCAATCGACAGGATATTACTATTTTTGTCTTGCCATGTAATTCAGCAACAAGAACTTCTAAAAATGATGAGGATTTTTGTCATGTAGCTTTTCCTGTTTCCCCAATGCGTGTGAGAATAGCGGCAGAACTGATTACACCTAGATATAAGAGTTCACAGAAGCCAAGCATTGGACCCACGTGTAAAAAAACGCAATCCTTTTTTTTCCCATTGAAATGAACAGAAGAGAAGTTGCTGGTCTATTTTCTGCAAGTATTTGATGTACATGAAACCAGGAAGTTTGGTTTAACAACTGTTTGGGAAGATAAAAGTATCCCTTACTTTGTTTAATTCTAAAATCATCCTAATCCAATGCAAACAATTTCAGTTCCCCGGCACCGCCACACCAGCTGCAAAAGCACCCATTTTCATCTGTCTCTAGACAATGGTGACCAAATGCTTAAAAATGTTTAATAAATGTTTCAGTGTCAGCATGTATTCTCAGTGTTAACCTTGGGTAACAGAAACGCCCTTCCCATTTCAGTTCCTTTCCCTATGCCAATTTTGCATCATGCATGTGTCAGAAATGGAAATGTATATAGGTAAAATGACGAAAATGCAACATTTTCTGCATATAAAGTGATATTACTATTTTTGTCTCGTCATATAATTCAGAAACAAGAACCACGAAAGGCGGGAATTCAGTTCACTCTCTTGATATCTTTAAAACATTAATTACATTTATTCAGTGTTCCACACCTTCACCTGCATCATGGAACAATTTACATTCAAATAGTGTCTTTCATGAGGAAAGAATGCCTCAAAGCACTTTACAAAGACTGATGAGGTGCCTGAGCAGGAAGGGAGCTGGGGAGTGGTGGGGGAGATGGCTGAAAGTGTGGTCAAAGAGGTAGGTCTTCAGTTGGAATTAGAAAGCAGAGAGGGTAGGAGTGAGGCATAGAGAGGGAGGGGGCAAAGTAGCTGAAGGCTCGCTCACCAATAGTGAGGCAGAGCAGGTGAGGGACATGAAGCAGGCTGCAGTTGGTGGAGCGGAGGGACCTGGAGAGGGAGTAGGGTTGCAGGAGATCACAGAGATAGGATGATGTAAGGTCAGGGAGGAATTTGATGTTGAGGACGAGGATCTTAAAATCAATCCACTGTGGGATAGGGAGCTAGTGGAGCCTGGCGAAATTTGGTGATGGACTTTTGGAGCCTAGTGCGGGAGAGCATACAAACTGTGTTGTGTGCTCTCAAGTATATGTAGTATATCCCTGAATGTGCAGCACCTTGAGACGTCCTCCAAACGTGAAAGATGCTATGTAAACGTAATTTGTTGTTGTTGGAGTGTGTGGATGTGTTGGAAATGGAGAGGCTGGTGAACAGTAAATTGGAAAAATCAAGTCTGGAGGTGTCAAAGGCATGCATTAGGGTTTTGACACTGTTTGGAATTAAGTAGTGGTGGAGGATGGCAATGTGCAGAGGTAGAACACAGCAGACTGGTGCAGCGCCTGGAAACATTGATGCACATCATGTATTGGTGCATTTCAGATTGAAAGAGTGATTATTAAATTTGTAAACCAAGGACTTGGAACAACTCTATAGAAGCTACTCTGATTCCCATTTATCACGTCTTCCAGGTGTCTCAAAGCGCTTCACAGAATATACTGTAAAGTGAATTTACAGTATATTTTGTGGGTGAAACGCAGCAGCAAATTGCTCACAGCAGTGTTCCACAAACAGTCATGGATTCAGTGACCAACTTATTATTTTTTAAAAGGAATTATTACCCAAAGGGTATTACCCTACCCTTTGATGCCAGGAATCAAACCCAAGTCTCTCAATTGCGAGGTAAGTGCTTTAACCACTGAGCTACAGGACTCCATGTGATTGAACCTAATTAGAGGCGGAATACTATTAATGGATATTTTTGCAGAACCTAGTCCTTGGTATAAGAACTAACTTAAAGAATTACTGAAAGACTTTGGAAAATATATTTGGTGGCAGTGAAAGAGAGAGAGGGAAAGATAAACTCTATCATCCCATTAGGGACGTCCTCCCGACATGAAAGGCGCTATACAAGTGTAATTTTGTATGAAAATCTGTACAGGTTCCCTGGATCTTGTGAGTGTGAGAAAGTTTCGAGGCCAATCTGAAACTGCAATAAGAAATTTTTCA